CTTGTAAAAATGCAATGTGAATTTTCTTCCCTATCATTCTGTCAACTTTGGTTCAATTATTTAGTAATCGAAAATTATAGCTAGGAATAGTGTTGAAAGAAGTTGATTAGCTAGTTTGTGAGATGCATACCAAGTCGATTTCAGTTTTCTATTACTTAAGAGTAGCAAGAAGAAATCTTTTATATCTTTATCCAATGGTTATCGTTTTGCTTGTCCTTTACCAAGTTCTCAGTATATATCTGAAATGAAATCACAGTCTAGTATAAAAAATAGATGTGCTCATAACCTTGTGTCGCGTGGAGTAAAGGACGTGAGTGTTGAGTATGAAACTCTCAGTAGAGATATGGAATCATACCTGCCGAGATCGTTAAAGCCATCAAACTAGAGAAAAAGAAGTTGGCTTTAGTTAAGTAAAGTTGTGCTTAAACTTAGTCGAATCTCGGAACTATTGACACACAAACCGTCGGATTATGTAGGTATTGAGGTTGATGCTCTTCGGGAGCTGCTTCCCTATAGTTGTCCTTCGGCAAAGCGGGATCAACTTCTTGCAGATGTTACGGAGGATGAGGTGAGAAAAGTTTTGTTTTCTATGCCTACAAATAAATCGCCGGGACCGGATGGTTACACAGTGGAGTTCTATAAGGCAGCTTGGTCAATTATTGGAGGTGATTTCACAGTTGCAATACAATCTTTCTTCAAGTTTGGTTTTTTGCCAAAAGGACTAAACGCGACAATTCTAGCTCTTATCCCAAAAACAATAGATGCACGGGTGATGAAAGACTATAGACCCATTTCTTGCTGCAATGTGGCGTATAAGACTATCTCAAAAATATTGGCTAATCGGTTAAAGACCATTCTCCCCGATTTCATTGCTCCGAATTAGTCAGCGTTTATTGAGGATAGACTTCTAATGGAAAACTTACTTCTTGCCACTGAATTGGTGAGAGATTATCACAAGGAAGGTGTGTCTTCTCGTTGTGCTCGCAGCAATGGACCTACTAGAACAATTCATTCATTAGATTTCTCTATGTATATCAACGGCCTCTTTCTCTATTCAAATAAATGGAGAGCTTGCTGTTTTTTTCAAGAGTAAAAAGGGGTTGCGACAGGGATGCTCTCTCTCTCTCTCTTCATATCTATTTGTGATCTGTATGAATGTTCCATTGCTTGAAAAAATCAGAGCTCAGATTAGTTCGTGGAAAAACAGATTTCTATCCTTTGCGGGAAGATTACAACTACTACGCTTCGTGATCGCAAGTCTTACCAACTTCTGGATTGCTACATTTCGATTACCTTCTGCCTGTGTAAGGGAGATAGAAAAGATATGTGCTGCATTTTTGTGGTCGGGACCGTCTCTCAACACAAAGAAGAACAAGGTAGCGTGGAGGGATGTTTGTAAGCCAAGGGATGAAGCTGGTTTGGGGCTAAAATCTGTGGTTGAGAAGGTAGGCTGTTTTAAGCTCATATGGCGGATAGTCTCAAGTCCTAATTCACTCTGGATAAATTGGATTAGAAGAGAACTCATTCGATCAGGTTCATTCTGTCCATCAAAGAAACCACCTCTTTGGATTCTTGGATGTGGAAGAAGTTGCTCAAATAAAGATCACAGGCCAAGGATTTTCACTCAATGGAAATTAAAAGCGGGTTACAAACATCCTTTTGGTATGATCACTGGTGCTCCCTTGGTCGTTTATATGATATTCTTGGTGTGAGGAGTTTCATTGATTGTGGGGTTTCCTCAAACGCTACGGTTGCTGCAGTCCTAGCAAATCACAGAGCTAGGCACCAACTTCTCCGATTGTTATTCCATTTTAAAACCTTCGCTCATGTCAAATTGGTCATCACCAAATTTGCAGGAACAAACATGATGAAGATAGAAACAAACAATTACACGACAGACGAGATCGCGTACTTTCACTAGAGGCTCAATGAAGAGTCTAAACAGCTATACCAAAGAAATTTTGGATCGAATATATTCCGCGAGAAACCATTTTTTAGTTAGAGCATACTCATTAACATTTACCATGCCCCATATATGATCAAATCCTATCTGACCTATCTTGCCAAGCCTATTTCAAAAACTGATTTTATCAAACACAAGCGACAAGAAAAAAAAAAGATAAGAAAAACGTGAGGCACACTTGACCACAATATGCTAACCAGTACCATCTGATTCCTTCATATTTAACCTCCAACAAAGCCTAAGATAAACCTATAAAGTAAGTATCCAACACAGGAATGAGCAAATCACATTGGAAACCTGTTCAAAAGCTTCAAGGACTTGAAAGGTACACGAGTTTCAACATCCATATGTGTGTTCCCAACATTACTATAGATATCAAAAGCAGTTGCTCAATATCACCTATGATCAACCTCCGAGTTACTATCGGTACAGGTTTTACCATTATTGTCAGGTAATCTATGGTTTGTCAACAAACTGCTCATTATCCCAGTGAAAAAGTAGTTCCTGTGGTTTTGATTGATCCAAAATCTCAAGGGAACAATGAGTCAACAAAAAGTAGCGGGTTAATGAAGAGAGACACAAAGTTCACAGTATCAGACGATCTAGTCATCACACTGATGAACTCAAGCTCATCTTTTTGCTTGCTAAAGAAGTTTGAGATTCACGCAGAGGATTTAGAGGTGCTACAAGTAAGCATCAGCAAAACAGAGGTACTGTTTAATAATTCGTGCAATAGTTAACTGATTCTTGTATCAGTTAGAATCATTTAACCGATTCTTTTGTGATCAAAACCAGGCTACAAGTTTGTGGAAGACTTCCTTTGTGACATCCTCAGCATTGAACACTTCTTTAAGAAACTTGATTTTGGAGAAGCTAAAGGTAGAGACTTGTTGAAGAAACAAGACAACCATAGATATTCTGGCAAAATCCACATTGTTCAATCTTTGTTATTAAGCATTATGAAATCTTCTTTGTGGTCTTGTAGATCCTTCTTAGAGACTATTAAGATTTCGAGAGCTACTTTTTCTCAATTTCTTGATACTTGCAGGCGGATCTAGAATAAGTTTCTAATGAGGTCAATGTATTATATGAAGAGAAAAAAAGGATCAACTCAAGAAATTTTAACCATTTTCTCTAATTTTCTATTACGTTTTAATAACAAATCAGTTAAAATATAAAAGTTATTGGGGTCAATTGACCCCACTCCCACCAAGGTAGCTCCGCAGATGAATTATTTTATGAGAACATTTTCAAATTTTCTCCATACTTCGTCCCAAACAATTTCCTTTCCTTGTTTAATTTGGGTTTACTTGAAACTTTAAATATCCACGGGTTGTTTTGTAAACAAACAGAGAGCTCCGGGAATAGAAATAAATTTCCTTTCTGGATATGTGTCGGAAACTGCTGAGTAGTTGATACAGCTACCAAATGTGTGCTTCCCTATTACGTAACCAAAACTATAAGTAACTTTTGGAATAAAATAAAAACTATAAGTACCAATAATCAACTAAAAATTAAATGAAACAGAACTCAAATTATGTATAGTTGATTTATCTTTTCACAAAAAAAAATAAAGTTGATTTTGCACAAATTATAGAAATAATCAAGCTTTTTATCATCCTCATAAGCTTAAAAACCAAAAAGAACAAAATCAAGCCGTTAATCGAAGATCCAATTTCAACATAACAACACAAATTGTCACCATAGAGACATCAGACATCATCCATATCCAAATTCATCGATAAAACTTCAGAGCTTGTCAGAAATTCAAAGATTTGATCGAGATCATCAAACTCTTGATAGCGCCCATCGAAGTTTCCAAGTACTAAACCATTGTTGTTGCTATTGTCAGAAACCGCTAGGGTTTGCTCTTCCGTGTTCTTATGAAACCCTTCGAAATTCACAGTTACATCATCTTGAGTGCAAACACTTGCAGAACACGTTTGAAGATTTAGGGTTTGCTTTTGATGATCAAACTCTTGATTGCACTCATCGAACTCAAACTCGTCAAAGATTTGATCGAGATCAAACTCTTGATTGCACTCATCGAAGTTTCCAAGTAAACCGTTGTTGTTGTTGCTGTTGTCAGAGACCGCTAGGGTTTGTTCTTCCGTGTTCTTATTCACAGTTATATCATCTTCAACGCAAACACTTGCAAAACACGGTTGACGATTTAGGGTTTCCTTTTGATGCTCTCTTTGCTTTTCCAACTCCTTCAGATCTCGCAACATCGTCGACATTGAATCCATCGCATCTCTCAACTCCTCCAGATTCTCTGATTTGGTCAGACTCTCATCTTCCCACCAAAACCCTAACTTTTCATCACAAGGACGCTGATTCGCGAGAAAAGCAGAGACAACACTATCAACAGAGGAGTGGCCAAAAGTGTAGAAAGAGGCATTGGAATTAGAAGAAACAGGAGTTGCTATGATCGCAATCTCTGCGTCGGAGAGAAGACAAAGCTCAGAAGCTTTGCTATATAGACCCTTACGACGTTTTGAGAATGAAACCGCTCGTGAATCTTTCTTCTCTATCTTCTTTATAGCAATCTTCCTCTTCAAGCCACCCATTATGTTTTTTCTCAATTTCACAAACAAACGAGAACGAGACAAGACTTAAGAATTTTGTGTTTGCTTGTTGTGAAAGAATATGATAATGGACTCACTCTGTTTCTAATCAGATATATATAGACTTAAGTCCTAAACTCAGCTTCTAATTAATCGATGTTATTTCCTTTTTCTAACAGTAATTAAACGACTAAGTAAAATTGTTTTCCTTTTTTGAAAGTAATTACTCAAAACCAGACGAACCAAGGCTGGTTCTGTTAAACCAATTTCCCTTTTTCTGATAATCGATCACCTAATCAGTAATTAAACGAAAAAAATTCAAAATTGTTTCCTTTTCTAAAAGTAAATTACTCAAAACCATCTGCAAATTAACCAGTAAACCAATATGCAAATTCTCTCTTTAACCGGTTTGGTCAACGGTCATTAAAATAAGACCGTTAAAAAGGGTAAAAGCGTCAATACAACAAAATATTAAGGAGCCTCTCTCCTTCTCTTTGTTCAATCAGACCGTTACGAATCAAAAAAAAAAAAAAAAAAAAAAGTTGCAAACTTTGTGAGGAAGAAGAAGACGATACAGTAATGGAAGATACAATCTCAAACCCTAGTATGGAATCTCTGTTTTTTTCCGTTGATTCAATCTCCGATACACAACAAAAACTCAAGCTTTTGGTTGATAATGGTGATTACGGATTCGAAAGAGGATCTAGATATGGAGAATACGCGAGATTACGAGAATCGAAGCTTCGAATGAAACGAGACTTCGAGAAGATTCTTAAGGAAGAGGAATTGAGATTTGGTTTTAATAGAGAAGAAGAAATCAGAGTTTTGCCGGAGAAGAAGACTAGATTCGGATTTATTCAGAATCAGAGGAAAACGTCGTCGTCTTCTTCATTGGCTCAATCGGTTCCTGATTTCTCTGCTATGATTCGTAAAGAGAATCGTCGACCACCGGTTAATTCGAATTTGATTCCTCGGAGAACAGAACTAACTCCACCGCCGATGAAGAGTAGAAACGCTGCCGTTTTCGCTGGTTCGGTGGCGAGAGGAAGTGTATCAGCGAGTGCTGGTGAGAAGAAAGGTATTGGGATGATGCGTAAGAGTTACGCTGCTGTTGATGATCTTAAGAAAATATCTATGGCTGCTGCTTCAGCCATTAACGGCGGTGGAGGAAAAAGGAAATCTATCGGCGGTGGCGGAGGAGGAGGAGGAAGGAAATCAATTGGCGGTGGTGGTCGGAGTATTCTAGGTTACAGACAAATTTACTGATTCTTTGATCTTGTTTGCCTCTAAAATCTAACATTTGTTGCTCAAAGTTTGTTTTTTTTTCTTCTACGAGTGTCTGTGTTTAATGGGTTTTTGATTGATAAAGATTAGTCCTTTTTCTGATTTAGGTTTCGGTGATTGATAGATTTTGTATCAATAACGATAAAGTTTGCATAGTTCTTATCAGAAAGCTAATAAACATTATCGTTGAAATAGCACAAGAAATGGTGAATTACAAATGCTATTTGACAAAACATTGATTAGTTCTAAAAGAGATTAGCTTTCACCGGTAAGGATTTCCCTAGATCGGTTGTTAACTCGCCAACCAAACACCGAAGGATCTCATATGCAATCTCTGATCCTATTCCAAATAGAAAAGTTTCAGGATCAAGCCATTTCTCCATTTCGATACCGATAACCTCATCCATGTTAATCCGAGTCCACTTTGGAACTTCTTCAAGAACACCTCGAATCAACTCGTCAGGTTTAGCACTGAAAGACTTTAACAATCCGCAGGAAATGTTTCGTTCTTCCAAGTGTTCGATCATAGCATCTACGAGGAACCCGCCGGTTAGTCCAGGGAGGTTGACTATCATGTGGGGTTAGCGGTAAGGTGGAGTCCGTGAAACAGGCACGTCCC